TATAGCCAGTCCAGCGCTAGCAAAACAAAAGCATTTCAGTTATAAGGAAACAATATCTTCAGGTAATACGTAGCTCATTAAAATTGGTGACAGTTTACAAAAAATGCCTTGTGCATCCTTGAGTACACTGTGGGTTACAATTTAGCTTCTGACTGCAGGGAGGGGCTACGTGTCTTTTCCTCCCCAAACCCTCTATAACTCAGGAATGACCAATGTCAGCAGGAAGCGTGATTCTAGGACCTACCCAGGCTAGCTCGAGGCCCCCAGCTCCAAAAAGCTTTTTATTTCTCCCAACTGCAGAACAGGTTTTCAGCCTTGCTTCCCGTTGCTGTTTTACATTCACCACTCTGCTCTCACGATTTCTAGTCTCTAAGAGGTACCTAAAGGAAAATTCTCTTTTGGTGCTGCTTTCTTGTCGTTCTGAACTAAATAAGGAGAGCTGTGTTTTACACCTTATGATGGTGTCCTTCTGCCTCTATAGGGACTGCGGGTGTAGACTTGGCTTTGTGCTCTCTGCAGACATCCTCTCACGCACCTTTCCTGGCCCATCAGCAGCTGAGGATTGTCCTTCCTGGGAAAGGTGAGTGTTGGGAGTCTATCTCCAGGGTAAACCGGTACTGAGGGAAATACATGAATCATTACGGCCTTCCTGGGGAAGGCGCAGCGGGCCAGGCACACACTTTCTGTGGGGTCATTTTTTTTGTTAAGTTTTTTATTGAAATATAGAAATGTTCATGTTTCCATAAATACAGCTTGAAGAATTTTCAAAATTTGGATACACCCATATCACCTAATATTACAAGATCCAGAAACCCATCCACAGAGTTTCCTCTGGAGGCACATAAGTGACATACGCCAAACTCCTTGGTGCAGAGCATTTCATAATCTCTTTCATGACCTATTAGATATGCAGGCACCTGCTCTAACCCAGGCATTGTGATAGGAGCTGGGCGTTCAACACAAGACCTAGTTCTAATCTGAGAGCAGTCGGGCGCCTGCCTGCTTCTCCGCCCTCATCTTTGCACCCATGGAGCCTACCACGCTATGTCCAGTGATGCTGACCAACTTTTCAGTGTGTCACGTATGCATATTCTTTCAGGCTTCTACTAGAACAACTTACCTTTTCTCGACTTACCCCCTATCACTCTGTTGAGAGATCCCCTCGACCAAGAAGTTCCCTGTGACCGTGCCCGAGGCTGGACAAGGGGCTCCCCTGGGCATAGTTCCAACAGAACAGTTAGGATATCCTATCACAATCTTTTGTTCACGAACCCAGTTTCCCAAGCAACTCATTATCTCGCTGAGCATCAGGGCCACATGTTATTCATCTTTGCGTCTCCAGGACCGAGCACAGTGTCTAGCTCTCCATGGAGGAGTGTCTTTGTGCTACTTCATCATGCCCGTTTCCTCCTCAGGAGCTTTCAGGAGCTTTTGGTTGCCTCCTCCATCAAATGACTTGTCAGGATTTGGAGAAGCTTTGAAGATAGGACTTTCCCACATATATCCAAAACATTTCTACATATTCACTCACAGTGGATACAACTCTTTTCTTTGCATACCCTGCCTCCCATGTTGTACTCCCTTCTGGTTTTGATCCCTCTGCTCTCCACTCTCAGGCATCTCTACTTCCTGACCTGCCATTTACGCAAACCTCCCTGTCTTCCAAGGTGAAGCTCAAAGGTTGAGTTTCTTTTGAGGCTGCAGGCCTACTGTGTGTCACGCTGATGACTCCCTTTTTAGGCTCATGCTCTCTGACCCTGTTTGTGTGTGAGTACCCAGCCTGTAGAGATGGGGTCTGAGAATCTAGTTCTCCCTTTTTGAGTACAATGAAGGCTAGATATGAAGAACCCTGTAAGTATTCATTTTGATAAAAAGGACTCAAAGCTGAATTTTCAGCTCTGAACACCTGGCTTTTAGAAATAATAGGGAGAGCAGAACTTCTTGTGTGCTCGATGCAATAGACATCTCGGCTCAACATACCCCCTAACCCCAAACTACTCTGATCCCTGCCTCTCAGCCAATGGCAAATCCTATTAACTTTGTGTCCAAAATATATAGAATATCCCCATAATCTGACCTCTTTTCAGATCATCCCCTATTCCTGGCTCAAGCCACCATCTGCCACAAATTATCACCAGTCTCCTATGAGGTCTCCCTACTTCTGCCCTTCTCCCCTGCTTCTGATCTCAGCGGAGCAACAGAATGATCATGGCACTTTGAACTCTACTCAGACCTTGGCAAAGGTGTCCCATCTCACACCAAGCAGAAGCCAAGGATGGTACAGGGGCCCACACGGCCCCCCGGGACCTGCCTCCCCATTCCCTTCACGTGTCACCCACTCTCTGCTCCAGTTTCTATTTCTTTCATGTTTTTACTCAAATGTCTCTTACTCAGTGAGGCTCTTGGGGGCCGCCTCGTGAAAATTACAGCACCCTGACATCTTTTATCTCTTTTTCTGGTTTCCATGTTTCATACATAAAGAGTATATTTTTCTTTTTTCAAAAAAGTGTATTATGTATTTTACTCAGTTTTCTCTTTTTCTCCAAAATTGTGTCAGCTGCCTGAGGACGGTCATTTTGGTTTGTTCCCTGCCACATCCCCAGCGTTGGAATGGAGTCTGGTATGTGGATGTTGATTATTGGTTTTTGAATTTTTTGAATGGACAGCAGTTGTTTTGTGATTAGGAAGCTACTAGCTGAATGCCCCTGATGTCTCTCCATGGTAGCATATTGTAATAGGGTAAAAGCTGTGGGAATGATTCAATTGTCAAGGTCAGTGATGTCACCTGGGACTTTCTTTTAAACTCTGTTAAGTACAAGACCCCTCTCTGCATATAAGAGTAGGACACCAAGATGAAAGACATCATCCCTATCAAGATACTGGTGGTGTATCTTGCAGAACTAGAACAGATGTTCCAGAAATTTGTATGGAACCACAAAAGACCCCAAATAGCCATAGTAATCTAGAGAAAGAAGAACAAAGTTGGAGAAATCATGTTACCTCCTGATATCAAACTATACTACAAGGATATAGTAATCAAAACAGCAAGGTACTGGCATAAAAACAGACATGTATATCAATGGAACAAAATGGGGAGACCCCAGAAATAAGCCCATGCCTTTATGGTGAATTAATATATAAAAAAAGAGACACAAAAATACAGTGGGATAAAGATAGTCTATTCAGTAAGTGGTGTTGGGAAAATTAGATAGGTACATGCAAAAAAAAAAAAAAAGAAAGAAAGTGTACCACCTTTTTATATCATATACAAGAATAAATTCAAAATGGATTAAAGACTTAAATGTTAGACTCAAAACCATAAAAACCCTAGAAGAAAACATAGGCAGCAAAATCTTGGGCATTTCTTGTGGTAATATTTTTTTCTGATGTATTGTCCCAGGCAGGGAAAACAAAAGAAAAAAAATAAATAAATGGGACTATATTGAACTAAAAAGTTTTTGCACAGCAAAAGAAACCATCAACAAAATGAAAAGACACCCACTAAATAGGAGAACATATGCAACAATGATACATCTGGTAAGGGGTTAATAACAAAAATTTATAAAGAACATATGAAACAACATCAAAAAACAAACAAATAAATAATCCAATCAAAATGGGCAAAGGACCCGAATAGATGCTTCTCCAAAGAGGACATACAAGTGGCCAATAGACATATGAAAAGATACTCAGTGTCACTAATCATCAGAGAAATGCAAATTAAAACTACAATAAGATATTACCTCATACCTGTAAGAATGACTATCATCAATGAATTCACAAGCAAGTGCTGGCAAGAATGTAGAGGAAAAGGAACCCTAGTGCACTGGTGGTGGGAATGCAGACTGGTACAGGCACTGTAGAAAACAGTATGGAGTTTCTTCAAAAAATTAAAAATGGAACTGTTTTATGACCCAGTGATTCCACTTCTGGGAATATAACCAAAGAAACCCAAAACACGAATTCAAAAGAACATAAGCACCCCTATGTTCATTGCAGTGTTGTTTAGAATAGCCAAGGTTTGGAAGCAGCCCAAGTGCCCATCAGTACATGAGGGCATCAAAAGCTGTGGTACATTTACACCATAGAATACCAAAGAAGAAGAATACTGTACCCTTTATGACAGCATCGGTGGACCTGGAGAGCGTTAAGCTAAGTGAAATAAGCCAGTCAGAGAAAGACAGATACTATATGATTTCACTTATATGTGGAATCTAATGCACAGAATAAACTAACAAAGTAGAAACAGACCCATTTATTCAGAGAACAGACTGACAGCTGTAGAGGGGAGGGGAATCGGGGGACTGGGTGAAAACAGTGAAGGAATTAAGCAAAAAAAAAAAAAAAAAAATCCTCACAGACACAGACAACAGCATGGTGCTTACCAGAGGGAAAGGGGGTGGGGGAGGTAGAAGATAAAGGGGAGATAAATGGTGATGGAAGAAGACTTGGGGTAGTGAACGCACAATACAGTATAAGGATGATGTACTATAGAATCATACACCTGAAACCTATGTACTTTTATCAACCAATGTCACCTCGATACATTCAATAAATCAAAAAAGTAGATGCAAATATTCTTTCCATTAAAAAAAAGAAATAAACATCGGATGTCAGCTAAGGTGACATACCAACAGGATGACGATAATTCTTTGTTACCATTTCCAGGACAGGTCTGAAGGCGAAAAGGAGGCCTTATTAATCATTACGCAGGAAGGAATAAAAGACGAAGGCGCCGGTGCGGCTCCCTGCCGCGGTGCCTGCCTGAGCTGCAGCGCAGCGAGCTCACACTCCAGTCTCCAACCGGACTTGGGCCTGAAAACTCCCAGACTTGGGTGTATTTCTGGCTCACTGTGTGTTTAAACATTAGCTTCCCTTTCCCCCACATACTTATATTCTTCCTAAAAATACCTCCAGGTATATCAGAATAAATGTAAAAATGTAAAAGTCTATTTATAACGGGAAGGTATATACTTGAAGGCATTAAAAAAATTCCTCACCACTGTCGATCGCCAGGAAGAGGGCCGTGTACACGCTGTTGTGGACAAACGGGGATTCGCGGTCCAGCACCGCTGTGGTGTCAACTGTCCCATTGATGGGGTTAATGTTCAGCCAGCCCGCTGGGTCCTTGTAAACGGAATACCTGAAAAGAAATTCCCCGACAACGTTAGGTTGCGTTCACAACTGATTCAAGAAATTTTCAGGGCTGGTACAAGCTCCTGTGTTGAGTGCCAGACGACCCTAATCTTAATACAAATTCAAAGACATCGTTACGGTTGCGGTTGTTCATTCAGAAAGCAATGGCTGACTAGCAGCTTTGGGGCTACTCTTCCTAAATATTTTGCACACGTGCATCCTTTCTTCCTCATGACAAGCCTGTGAAGAGGGGACTCTTAGCTGCCCATCTCTCATAGGGACAGAATTCACAGCTTGTCTCCTGAGTCCAAGTCCAGCTTTGTTTCTTTTACACGTGGCATGTACCTCATGTAAAGAGCAGGTGAGAGGAGCGCTGTCATGAAGGTAGAGGTGGGGCCCGTGGACACTTGGAGGAGGAAGTCGCTACCTCCGTAGAGGGTAACCCTAGGGACCTCGTAGAAGATGCAGAATCTAAGCTAAGACAGGAGGAATGGGTGGGATGTTGTCAGAGAATGAGAGGACAAGTAAGGACAGAGAACAGTACAAACTGGTACATGGGACGGAGATATTAACCAGAATGGAAGTTCCATGAGGGCAGGGATATCTGTTCACTGTTATGACTCCAGCTCCTAAAAAGTATTCCTTAGCATGTATATGACACTTAATAGATAGTTGCTCAATAAATATTCAGGGACCAGAAGGTAGATGGTTGTGGTTGGAACATACGATATTTTGCTGTATATAATGCACACTTTTTGCCCATTTTTTTTGAGGGAAAAATAAGGATGCACATTATACAGGCATATAATGATTGCGTATAATGATTATATACCATGGGTCTAATAACGGGTACAATAATCCCTTGTATAATGCACAGTAAAATGTGGGTGCGCATTATACGTGGCAAAATACAGTTGTTTCTCCAGGGGAAACTGGAAGTAGATGAGTTTGGAGAGACTGATTATTAAGAACCTGAACCACTGTTGTAAGGGGTTTGGATTCTGGATCATGGGAAACCATTAAAGGTTAAAAAATCGTTATTGTTATTTTTGAAATTGTTTAAAAGCAACACGTGCTAACTGTAAGAAATTAAAACACTATAAAGGTGCACAAAGTGAGAAATGAAAGCCTTCTCTATCGGGGAGACTGGCTGAACATGATCTCTTTGAACTGGGTGGCTTGGGAGATGTGGGACTGCCCCAGGGACACACAGCAGGTGCTCCGGCCACATCACCGCCCACGCCAGAAGGGTGCTTGCTGGTGTTTGCCTGCCACCTCCCCACCAGTCTGCAATAGATGCCCCTCGAGATGCCCGGAGCTGCCCATCCCTGCCTTACTCTGCCCGCTTTGGTTCTGAGCGTGTTCGTGGCCTGATCGAACCAGCAAGGTTGCAAATCTCTGGATGAATGGTTTAAATGACCATGGTAGTTCTCCCAGTGGAAATGACGTCCCTGTCTCCCAATCCCTGAAGCCTGTGGATGCTGCCGTTTAAGGGCCTTGCGAGGGGGCGGTTATTTGGGGTTTACTGGGAGAAGAGGGGGATAAATGCAATCAGAAGCGTCCTTACGCGAGGGGGTAGAGAGGGGTCTGAGACGCGCCGAAGCGAAGGGGGCCGTGGGGCCACGGAGCAGAGACTGAGTCCTGCGGCCGCCAGAAGCTGCAAGAGACCAGGAAGGACCCACCGGCGCCCCCCAGGGCCTTCCCAGGGGGTGTGGCCCTGCTCACGCCTCGACCCAGTGAGACTGGTTTTCAAGTTTTGGCCTCCGAAACTGGGGAAGGATACATTTCTAGCCACTGAGTTTGTAGTAATTTGTTACAGTGGCAGTAGGAAATGAACACAGTAGGCCTACTCTCCCCACTTACAGAGGAGGAAACTGAGGCACAGCTCACAGCTACTAAGGCCAGAGAGTCAGAATTTGGGCCCAGGCAGCGTGATCCCAGAGCGTCTGTTTTGAAGCCCCATGTGCAGCGGCTCTGCAGCTAACTTAGAGGTGGGTGGTTAGAAGATACTCCCCAAATTCTGAGAAAAAGTTACCTCTGAGGATAGAATCAGGATGAATCTACAATGGGTCAGATTGTAACCCCGGGGGCTGCTCTCAGATGTGTGGCCAGGGAGAAGGGGAGCCCCCCCAGGTTCCTCGGCCATGACTGGGAGGTAATTCTGGGGGTGCTACAAGGTGACTGTTACCTGAGGGCGGCTGTGGTCATTGAAAGGGGGCTGGTCAGCCTGGGCCCTCGAGAAGGGGAGCTGGGGGGTTGGAAGCTGCCAGCCATCAGAGCGAACGGACGTCTGAGCAGCTGCCATGAGCCTTCTAGTAGCAGCGCAGCTGCCCCATGGCCGGCAGCACCACACCCACGGTCCCAGCGTGACTGCCAGCGGGGGAGCCCCTCGGCCTGCTCCCGGGCTCCGCTGCAGCCTGCGCACCAGCCCCTGGCCGGCTTTGGGCTTCCAGAGGCCTTGTCAGGCCCTCTGACACAACACTGTTATTTTAATTCATAGAGAGACACTCTGGTTTCATATCAGTCCCTCATGATTTTGGGTCACGTGAACAGGTCTGAGCGCCTCTGTGGGAACCAATCGAATTCAGCTTCCATCCTGCGAAGCAGAAGGGCCAGGCCCTGGATGCAGAACAACATTGGCCCGGTCTTTCCCGCAACAGCCTCTGGGGCGCAGCACCCATTTACTAATCACAGTGCCAACGGCAGTGACAGGTGCGTACTGTGTGACGGGCACTGTTCTAAGGGCCTCCCGGATCTACTCTTTCGACTCCCACGTCAGCCCTGAGAGGTCAAGCGCATTATTGTTCCCATTTTACAGATAAGGAACTTGAGAGGATGCTGGATGTTACAGATCTTTTCCTTGTTTTATTTTTTTTCTATTATGAAATGACAGACTGTAGATTTCTCAGTTCTCACAGAACTTCCATCATTTGACACCTACTTACATATTTAAAAAAGAGATCTTAAGTAGAATTGTTATTTTGCTTTTTAAGAACATGGTACTTGGCTTTTTGCCAAGGAAAAAGCAACTCGTATTCCTGTGCAAAAACAATAGAACAACAAAACCGAAACACGCTCCCCAAATACAAAACAGAGCCAGAGAGACAACTGTCCTGAGATCGATGGCTGGCGTGTGGCCGCGTTAGTGCCAGGGCCTGGCTCTCATGCTCTACACCGGCTCCGCCCAGCACGCACCCTGTCAGCACCACACGGGCGTCAAAGGCACAGACTCTGGCGTGAAAACGACCTGGGTTCTCCCCGTGCGACCTTGGACCAGTGACTTCCCTGTGTCTGCTTCCTCCTCTCGGAGGTGGGGTGGTCCTAGTGACCTCGTGGGGCAGCTGCCGTGAGTGCGCGCTCGGGGCGCCGGGCCGAGTGAGCGCTGTCGTCGGAGTCAGACCCCCCATGTGCGTGTCGGCGGCCGCCTGTGCCGTCTTTTGACGGGATCTGCACTGGCCCTCGCAATGCTTTGGAGCATCCAACTCAGCGGAGCCCTGGGGAATGACACTGGCGCTGAAACAGTGACGGGGAACAACTGGGGAGAATGAATGAGTGTGGCAGAGGCTCCCCCACACTCCGCTGCTGCCTCAGTGATCATCGCCATATTTCGTACAAACAGAAGAAATGTATTGCTCCTGAGAATGAACTACTCCAAAAACACTCGTCTTTTATTTTGACAGAAATTTACACTTCTGCAAACTCCTTCTGTCTTCCAAGACGCAGCTGAAATATCATCTCTTGGTCAAGTGTATGAGTTCCCCAGTTAGAATTAGTCACTCTCCCCTGTAGGTCCTTGCTGGGTACATGCACAGATTTAAATGCCCGTTAGAGTGTAATACGGGCCCTTGCGGGTCTGCCGCCTTCACCAAACTCCGAGCTTCCTGATGTCAGGAAGAGGTTAAGGTCGGCTCAACTCCTGCGTGCCTGTTGTGCCTGGCTTTGTGCTATACAACTTAGCGTCACATTTATTTTTGTAGCTCGCAACAACCAAATAAAGTTGGTATCATCCCTGTTTTAAAGATAAGATAAATGAGATTCAGAGAGGCTTAGCAACTTGCCAAAAGCAGCACAGCTAAGAAGCGGCGAAGCTGGAATTCAGCACAGGTGTGCCAGACTCCAGGTGCGCTACTTGTGCTCGGGACCAGGTGTTGGCCGTTCTGTACCCCCAGGTCCAAGCAGAATGCCCCGCACAGGGTGGTTGCCCAGTAGATGTTATTATATCCTTTTCTCTTGCAGCTGCAACAATCTCAGAAACAGAAAATCCAAAGAAAGGTAACATTTGTTTCCCATCTTATTAGGTAACAAGTTCACCCTTGATGTAGGAGTGATTTGTGGTGATTTACCATATTTGAAATAATGAAAAATTTAAATGGACCATTATTTATTCCCTGATTGCTCAACTCTGAGTTCAGAATACAAATAAAAACAGAAATAATACAGCCTTTCACATTGGCAAAGAAACAATGCTCTTTGTTTCTCCCTCTATCATGGTTTTGGTCTTATGACGCCTGGGTTTTGCAGTGCGGGGGATACGTTTGCTGCTTCTCTGGTATAAGGAGTTGTTATATGCAGTTAAGAGCTCACAGACACGACCTTGGAAACTGTCCCCTAACAACAGGGCCCAGTGCACGAGGCCTGCGTGCATCACATTCCCAGTGAACGTAAGGCCTTGGGGGTTCTATAGGGAAGCACTTCCCTATTTTCTCCCTTGAAAGATAATCACAATCAGGTATCCATTGCTGTGTGATTTAACTGTGTTTTCACAGGGCCTTTGGTTTTGTTTTCCTCTATTAGTTTATTTTACTTGGCTCCCCTTGCCCCCTGCCTGAGGCCCTGGGAGGCACGCCTGTCTCCTGGGTGTCCTTGACAATGGCTTGCTGCTCCTACTCAGAATCGCAGCCACAGACGGTGAAGGATGGGGACACGCCACTTACTGAGCATGCCCGAGTGTCCAGTGCTTGGTGACGCCGTGCCCACGCAACCCAAGCCAAGGGCTGGGTGGAAGGC